AAAATATCCTTTTACTCGCATTTTTTTTTTCTTCTTTTTCTTCGCGTTTATCATTTTATAATACATTTGAATATATTTTTCTCTTCATATTTTTTAATTCTAATCTAATTTACTTTTATATCTTTTCTCTTTTCTTTCTTAGTTTTTTTTTTTTTTTTGGCGCGTTTATGATCGTGTACGACAATGGTATTACGAAAGAGAACGCAAAAATTAAACAATTTACGTACAAGGGATTTGTTCTCGCTGGGTTTAGGAAGAGGAGGCAGAGACTAAAAGGATTCAAGGATAGGATATGAAAAAAAAAATAAAGAAGAATATATAAGAAATATATAATATAAAAAGTATTTCGCGGATAGGTCAATAAGCGTGATGTATGTCAGAATTTTTATTAAAATATATTATGGCGTATTTTATTCATTTCAATATTATATAAAGTATTAAAAATTCTGGCTAATTATATTCATTGACTTCAACAAAATATATAGAAAATATGTATGTAATTAAAATTACTAAAGTACAGAGTGTTCCAATGTAATACGTGTATAATTTCAGGGATGGTTTCAGTACACTAAAATAAAAACTAAATGTTTGTACAATCATACACCTCATCAATATGACCCTGTTTTTGAATTAAATTTATTTTATATATTAATATTTACAAGAAAGCTTCTTATCTCACGTTTTAAACTAATTTAAACATCTGATATTTTTTAAACGAGCGAGAAGATCCATTATCATGGACTTGAAAGTTTGAAAGTTTTGCATTGAAGACGAAAATGGTTACTTTAACTAAAATTTTTATGAAAATCATGTAACAACGCGTGTAATAAAAAATGGGTACAATTCGAAAATAAACAAATTCTATGAATTTCACAATTATTTTAACACATTCGCGGCCGGCATATTTTTTCCTTTTTTTAATACTGAGTACCGGCAAAAGTAAATGAATTATTTAAATTTATATTTAAATAATAAAATATAATATAATTTAATAAAATTTTATTATTTAAATATTATATTGAAATAATTAAATACAAATTTAATATATAAAAAATTTATAAAATATTATATATAATATAAATTTATAGTATATATATATAAATTATATATATTATATATATAAATTTATTTTTAAAAAACTTTAAAAAAAAATTTCAAATGACGTTAATACACGTCAGCGGTCGCGAATGTGTTAAGCGTACTGAAACCACTCTGTGAAATTGTGTCAACGTATTTTGAAATATCCTATACACCTGGAGAATAGGAAAATTATCCGAAATTTAGCGTGTTCGGGATCACCACAAATGTGATTAAGTTAGGATTGATTAGAGAAGGGATGATAATTAAAAAAAAGAAAAGGGAATGGAGGATATGATGATGGAATATAGTTTAGTAAAAAGTTATTCACGTTTAATATAATAGTTAATTTGAAAGACTTTGAGATAATGTCGAAGGACGCAAAGAAGGTAAATATCGCTCATTCGATGAGTATCGAGATGCAACGTCGTCTACGAAAAGATCAGCGGTGCGCGTTAGTTCGATAAACTAGATTTTATGTATGTATTTGTTTACCTTATTATTTTACAGATCTCGATCTTTGTTCTCTTTTCTTTCTTTGTTTTTTTTTTTCTTTTTTTTGATCAATCTATCAGACGTCCCAAAAAGTTTTCCTTCTATATCAAATCGATAAATTAAAAATTCCAAATTTCATTTCTTTTTCTTTTATATTCGGCATATATTTGTGTGGGGCCCATAAATATTGTTAATAACAACAATAATTGAAAATTCGTACATTTGAAATAAAAAATACAATATTTTTATTCTATCGAAATGTTTGTTTGTTTTTTTTTTTTTTTTTCATAGTAAAAAAACTTTTTGTGACATTCTGTATGTGAACATGTATGTGTGTGTTTGTGAGTATGCAATGTGTATATATATATATACATTAACGTGTAATTATCGAAAACTGAAATACACAGGATATTCTAATTCATCCTATATGTTGTTCATGTGTATGCTTAGTGTGCATGTGTGACTTCTTGGTAGTTTTAGCACCAGTAGATGAATTTTTGGTAACTTGAAAGGAGTTGAAAATTCTCCTTTTTTGATTATTTCATTTATTATTCTATTATCGTCATTATTTTGTTTTTCAATTCTTTCTTTTTTTTTTTTTTTTTTTTAATAATATGACTAGCTCAAGCTTCTTATTTTTCTTTTTGTTTTTTGTTTTTTTTTTCTTAGCTCTTGGCTCGTCTATCTCATATTTTAATTCAACCCTTAGCTATTATATTTCTAACATTCTTTCTTCACTAATATCTCTTGTTCTTTATTTATTTTGTTTCTTTTGTTTATTACTATCCTCTAATTTCTATCACTATTCATTTTCATTAATCGAACTTATCATATCGATCATCAATCATCGATATATATTCATATATATATATACACACATTCGCACACATACACACAAATAGATAACATGTGTATATATACATTTATATATATATCGTTCATATCCATTGTACAAAAATATTTTGGAAAAATATTTCTGGTTTTCTTCTAGTGTCACCAAAAATCCATACCGCTGCGCCATCGTTGTCTATCAAAAATAAGCCTCTCTCTCTCTCTCTCTCTCTTCCTCTCCCTCTTTTTCTATCTTTCTCTCTTTCTTTTACAATTTTATTTTCTCTCTTTCTATCTTTCGTTCTTTCTAAAAGCTTTTAAACGTTATCGAAAGCCATCGGACATCTGTACGAACGCTTCACGTTCCCACAGTCAAATTTTGCGAACTTTGCCATAAATACATATATATATATATATATATATATATATATACACAGATTAGCTCAAAAGTCATTAAACCATTTAAAAATAGTACAATTTTTTTTTTATATTAAAAATTTACATACATATATTTTTTTTATAAGCAATAAATATATTTATTTGAAATGATATTTAATTTAATAAGTTATATTATTCAAGTAGTCACCATTTTGTTTTCGACAGTAGCGGGCTTTTTTTAAACTTTGCTCCATTACTTCTCGTAATGGATTAGTGACTTTTGGAAAACCATATACATATATAATACATATATATATGTACATGAGACGGGTATTGACCGAATGACCATCAATGGCGTCCTACCTACATCATCGAACGAACTTGAAAATGCAGTATCGAGCTCGATTTTGATTGTGTGTGTTACATTTTTAAATATATTTAATTATGTATATATATATATATATCTCTTTTTTTCTTATCATTTCAACTGGATTTCTTTTTTAATATTATTATTAATATTATTATCAGGACAAACAATTTACATATGACTACATTTATGCGTATTTTCTTAACTGATTGCCTTTCTTCTTCTTTTTCATTTTTCTTCCATCTTCCTTTTCTCTCTCTCTCTCTCTCTATCTTTCTTCTTAACATCCAACGCCATTCCTGGATGCCAAGGACGGTATCGATTCGACGTTAGTTATAAGAGAATCCTTTCGGTTCGTAAGTCCTGTACGATTGGATGCTACTGGCCATTTAAAATATCATCTTTTTTGTCAATGACTTTTGAAAAATATTTTCTATTCTAATCACATTCTCTTTCTCTCTTTTATTCTTTTTACATATATTTATCGTACCTTCTCCCTCTTCTCACCTTCCCCCCCCCCCATTTCTCTCTTTTTATTCTTTTACTCTTTCTCTCTTACTTTAATGACAAACACATTAAAGCTATGTACACATTTTAACACATATTCTCTCGTCGCCATATTAGATTAAATCTTACGTATGTAAATACACAATGTAAGTACATACGTTTAAATCCCTCTGACACGGTTCGGTAGCCTCTTGGCAACATTTTATGTATAATAATATACATATTAATACATATATTATATACATACACGTATATATACATATATACATATATGTATATGTATTTATATGTAAAGAACTCTAGGACCAATTTTTAAAAAAGGCAAGAGGGCAATAATCATCATCATAATATCATCGAAAGACCCTGTATAGAAATTTTGGATTTGAAACCGCAATTAATAATATATATCTATGTATATATATTATAAATTGCGAGTCACTGGAGTATTCGTATTTGTTCCCATTGTAAAGTTAAAATCATTCATATTTGCTTGTATTACAAAACTTCAAAATTCTACTACACGAAAACATATTTTAAAATTATTTAACTTTGAAATTGATATAGATTTTGTTTCCAGAGAAAATATTATTTTAATGAAATAATCAAAAATTGGTTTCACAAGAGTATATTTACATCTACATAAGATATAATAAAAATACAATGATTATTTTTATAAGTAGTACTTGGTTTGACTTTTTATTTGACATATTTTGTGAGACCAATTTTCTTATCAGTTCATCCAAATTTTACATTTTGTTAAGAATAAAATGTTCTTTTTCAATTAAATTTATATTCATTGGAAAGTTTAATAATCCTAAAACATATTTCTGTGTATAACAATTTGAAAATATTGTATTACGAGAAAATATAATATTTTGTTTAAATATACAGTGGGATTACGAATACTCTAAGGACTCGCTGTATATTTTCTTATAGGCGCTTCTCTTCTCTTAAAATGAATTCGATTTGATTCGCATTCGCGCGACGAGTTTCTTTTCCTTTCTTTTCTTTATTTTTTGTTCTTTTTTTATTATTATTTTTTTTAATTTGAAGGGTTAATACAGGGAAGGTAAATACGTATAATAGGTAAAATACATACATAATAGAAGAACTTGTTTATCGCGAATCGCGCTCGTAACGCGTTACTCGAAGAGGTAAAAGCACAGCCCGCTCCGTCGACGAAAATCAACGACGAATCAGTCGGTGACGGTTTTTTTTATAACGTCGGAAGGTCTTCGTCTTTTATTCGTCGACATACGCCCAAAATCAGAAAGAGAGAAAGGAAGTCAAAGAACGAAAGATTAAACAAAAAGAAAAAGCAAGAAATAGACAAGGAGAAAGAGAAAAGTAAAGAGAGAGAGAGAAAGAGAGAGGGAGAGATGGATGGTGATGGTGATTGGGGGGAGGGGAGGGGAGGGGTCAGACGGATCGGAAAGATGGAGGCTGATCGGCGCCAACATCGGCGCCAACATCGGCGATGGACAAATACAGAAAGAAAGGAAATTTTGATCAGCTCGTTACTGATTGCACGTTGGTGAAGAGTGTGCTTGCGAATGTGTTCTCGGATGACCCGTAGCTTCTCGTTTGATTCTTTGTTTAAGATGCACCTTAGCGTGCCTCTTCTTCTCGTCACTCCTCGCAAACTTTCTTCCGCACTGATCGCAGCAAAACGGTTTCTCGCCTGTATGCGTGCGAACGTGGGTGGTTAAATGGTCGCTCCTCGAAAAGGTGCGCATGCAGATACGACACTGAAAGGGTTTTTGTCCCGTGTGTATGCGAATGTGTCGCGTTAGTTCGTCGCTTCGTGAGAATCTACGGTCACAGCCGTCGACGGGGCAGGCATAAGGGCGCTCGTGAACGGGCGTTTTGCTCGGTCGATTTGGATACTTTCTTGGCTTTACTGGTACTAGCCTGAGTGGTATAGAGCTCTGTTGATACACCTGCGAGAGGATCTCGTGGCCCTTCGACGTGCTTGGATTGTATTCTGCGAGTTGAACGCCGGACGTACCCGCTGGTTGTTGCTGTTGTTGCTGTTGTTGTTGTTGCTGCTGTTGCTGTTGTTGCTGTTGTTGTTGTTGTTGCTGTTGTTGTTGCTGTGGTTGCGGTCCTTGGGATTGTGGAGGTTGTTGTTGTTGCTGTTGTTGTTGCTGTTGAGGTTGTTGGACGGTACTGGGGTAACCGCTCGTGCCCGTTGGCTCCTGCTTCAGCACAGTCTCCTGATGATGATGGTGAGCGTGATGGTGGGAGAGAAGACCAGGGTCGTAGGTCCCGTCAACTTCGTGTCCCAACCACGTCTGTGGGGTGGTAGTAGGTGTATCGTGGTAACCGGGAGGTGGGGGTGGCTTCGATTCGACCTGCAGTAGCTCGACCGTTTCATTGCCGTAGGGGCTTGAATGGAGGGTCGGGTGAAGGAAAGTTTGCCCGGTCAATGTCAATGTCGGCGAGGGTAGAGGACCCCAAAGTTCTTGGCTGCTTGTCTGTGGCTGTTGCTGCTGTTGCTGTTGAGTTTGTAGACTGTTTAGCGGAGGAGATTGCGTGCAGGTCGTCGCAAATACTCCACGATAGGTTAAGGTCGGAACGTTGCAGATGTTTACGCTTGTTGCGGCAGTCGTCGAAGACGACGTGGAATGAGGCGAGGAATAGAGTATTACGCCACCTTGAAGAACGTTGCAACGATCTGCATCCTCCTGAGCTTGGTGATGACGCGACGGACTGTCAGAGGAGGGTGCACCTGTCGTACCGCTATCTTGCGTTTCCTGATGATGGTGATGATGATGATGATGAGAACGATGATCCCTACTGGTTGGACCACCGTTCTCTTCTTCCTCCACTGTTGGCTCTTCCAACGAGAGGTCTTCGCCCGCCAGGCTACCTGCAAATCGTTGCAATTCTTCATTAGTATTATTCAATCTTATTGCTTATTTATTATTATTCTTTCAGTTTATCTCATGCTCCCGGACATACACACATGCACGGAATAATAGATGACAGAGTTATTATATCGTGCGAATAATTCAATCCTTTGAGCGTGCTCATCACTTTTGTCATCCGATTCAGTATACGTCGAGAGACGAGCGAACTGGCAGGAAGTCACGCGATACAGGGGTGAGTTTATCTTAGAGTCGAAAGCCTACCGACGAGTCCTATCTGTCGTCTGCATCCTGCCGGTTCGTAACTTCCTTCCTTAGCACACAATCATTCTTTAACTCTTCTTTCTGTCTCTCTTTATTCATGAAAATATATTGACAAACGTGAATATACAAAAACTTTGAAAATTGTCGACTCGGAAATATGGTAAAGAGATCTATATTTTATAGAAAAATTAGAAATAAAAATAACATTAGGTTCGATATAGGTGAGATTAAATATAATGATGTGAAAAAAAAAACAGAGAAGACAAAAAGAGCAAGAGAAAGAGAGAAAGAAAGAGAGAAAGAAAGAGAGAAAAAGAAAGAGAAAGAGAGATAAGGGAAGGGAAAGTGTAAGAGAGAACTTCAGAGGAACGGTTTCACGGGAAAAACGGGCAGGTTGTGGGTGTGAAGGTGATAAAGGGAAAGATGTCGGGGGTGTAGCGAGAGAGAAAGAGAGAGAGAAAGAGAGAGAAAGAGGTGGGGTTCAGTTGGAAGCATGAATGAATCTACCAAGGGATGGTGAGAGGAGTTGGAGGAAGAAGAGGAGATGGAAGGTGGTACGGGAAAGAGAAGAGAGGAGGGCTTCTGAATGTCGGGGTCGCCAAGTATTGATCCGCAACAGACGAACACGTTCGATATTAGCCGTTCTCGCGAGTCAAGTGATATGAGTACGTCAGCGGTGTGTCGTATCATAAAGTTCTTTTTTTGTCTTCTTTTTACTTTTTTCTCGAACGTGAACAAGATATTTTCTTATTTCATTTGCGTTGATTGTGTCCCGTTGATCTTGAAAAAGATCTTGCCGAGCTTTGTACGAAATGCTCGGAAAAAGGAGCGACATTCGTATGTGATAGCCGGTTTGCCGACAAGGGTATCAGGAGTGTACGGAGGTCGCGTGCTCGGAAGGAAAGCGAAAGTTCGCTTTCCACGATGCACTGACGAGACGAGAGGGTGCAAGGCCAATTGATTTCCAGTTGGAAGCCGAGAACCTTGCATCAATGCTTTCTCTCTCTCTCTCTCTCTCTCTCTCTCTTTTACTCTTTACTTTCATACATACTTTTGATAATATCCATATTTATAACAGAGATCGTAGTACGATCGGAGTAATGGTATTACATATAGAGAAATGTTATAGGTAGGTGTACTGTTTGTCTTTGAAAAGTGAAATAGAAAAGGTAGTAGGAATATAGGAAGATCGGATAGAGGTGTACAGGCCAGGAGGGTTTATAGGTACCTGAGATCGGTGGCGGTTCGACCAGCGCGGAGGGGCCAAAGAAGGATGGTAGATCGCTGCTGGTGGTAACTGGCGTGTTCAGGTCGCCAGGTTTGTCCTTCTCGTTAGGATCTTGGAGATCGTCGTTGCAGTTCCTAGTATATTCTTTATCATTGTCATCCGGTTGCCGGTGTCTCTTGGTAACATCGTTGATATCGCCCGGCGACGAGCAAGGAGTATCGACGTGACAATGATGTTGTTGATGATCATCGAGTCGATGATGATGGTGGTGGTGGTGGTGGTGATTGTTATGATGATGCCGGACGTGGGAGTGATCGGACGAGTCGGACGAGTTGTTCTGATGCTGCGAGTGCAAGGGCACGCAGGAGGTTAACGAGAGGGTCGGGATGATCTTAGTCGAGGCTGTTGCCAAGGATGTACAAGAGGATCCTGTGCTGGCAGGGCTCGAAGAAGCGCCGACACCGCAGCCCACCGATGCCGACGTTGAGGAAGAAGCGTTGTACGGTAAACAGGCGTCGAAACTTAGCTGTACCGTTTGCAAATTGAAGGTCGCGTGGTGGTGATGATGATGATGGTGTCCTAAAGGCGGCGAAGACAGGAGGAAAGGGCTGGTGGCCGCGTGAGGTTGCGAGCCCACCACCTCCATGCCGTCCATCGTCATCCTCTGGAGCAGCTGGTTTCCTGGCTGAGTGTCTACGGATTCCTCGGCGTTACTGCTAGCGGCGTTGGTAGTGGTGGTGGTGGTGCCGCCGCCGGTACTGGCGCACTGCGTGTCCTCGCCTGTGGTCGTATTGTTCAACGCAATTATTATGGTTATACCACTTGATCCTTCCTCGGTTGGTTTAAAGACGTAACGACGAGAAAACCTAGAGTCGCGTCCCGCGACAAACCCTTTTAATTAAACTAGCCCCCTCTATTCGCGAAAATTTCTCTCTCTCTCTCTCTTTCTCTCTCTCTCTTTCTCTCTCTCAATCGTACCTTCTTGTCTACGTCACTAGATTAGTAGCGGTCTCGATCACTCGGTACACGCGCGCGCTTCCCTTTTTCCCATTCGTTCCGACACGCGCGTACCACGTCGTTTATGAGCTTGTTTAAAGGTGCGAGATAACTCGACGCCGTCCGGAAAAACTTGTCTCCGCGCGCGCACTAGCAATACGACGACAACGACGACGAAGAAGATGACGACAAGTACCGCGATGGCACGTACCAGCGGAACAACACCGCGACAAACTGAGAGCACCAGACAGCTTCTCTCTCTCTTTCTTTATTTTTATTTGTTTCTTTCTCGGCACGATCCGGTGTCCGGTTCGCCTCTCCCGTATCCTCCTCCAGCACCGGTCGCGCCGATACTACGAACTTCTCGACGCGTTCGCCTCCCTCTCGACACGAGAAGAGGGAGGACTACGGGGGGTGGGTAAGAAGGTAGGCAGGTAGCTCTCTCTCTCTCTCTATCTCCCTTTTAGTGGTAGGAGAGAGTCACTCTTCCTGCCTATCAAAATATTATCACACTGATCACCGATAGGTTCTTTGCTGAGTAATCAAGAATAAAGTTCACTAACTCGAAAGGGAATTCTTTTTTACGTGATTCTTTGCTTATATTAGACAAGAGGGTGTACTAACAATAACGATATTAAAGAATAAGTAAAATTATTGTTATTGTTGTTGTTGATAGGTGCCGAAATTTGCTTAAATGCAAGCGAGCACACGATTGTTTCTCTCTCTTTTTCGTCTTGTCACTTCTCTTCGTTCACGTATATACCGAGATGTATCTCGTATAATACACGAGTGTATCATATACGGAATGATCACACATACACACACACACATATATATATATATATATTTATATATATATATACTTATATATTACTTATACACAAAGCTACTTTGAAAAATATACAAACACACACACACTGCAGATGGATGGTGAGACACGCGTGTATCAAACACAGAGAGAAGAGGAGAGTCTTAGCGAATCGTGTGTGGGCGCGCGAGTACGCGTCTCTATCTCACAGTATCTCTTTTGGTATCCTCTCTCTCTCTCTCTCTCTCTCTCTCTCTTTCTCTCTTTCTTCTTTCTCACTTGGTTAACACGCGCGCTCGCGCGCGCGTGTGTATGTGTGTGTTAAGTTCGTGCGGAGGCACGAGTTAGAGCGCGAAAGGGATCGTGAAAGAACGCGCGATGCGTGGGGGTCGCGCACGAACTGAGCCGAGCGGCGGCGCGCCCCGTAGTTTTATGAATGGACCGCGGAGACTGTCCCATATTTGGAAGCGTCGAGCCGTCCGCCAGCCAATCCCCGCTCTCGACTCTGCTGTCTCTCTTCCGCGCACACGCGAGCGCAACACTTTCTGTGTGTCGTCCGTGCGGACGCGACCGCTCTCTGTGCGCCGTATCGCGCTCCTTACCCCCACCACTATTCTATATACTCTTCTCTCTCACTCTCTCTCTCTTTCCTTCGTGCGCGCGCTCGCTTGCAACCCCCACCAAGTTGCCCTTCGCGCGCGCGCCGCCGAGAACGCAACCCAGCCGATATCTTTCGACAGTTGGATAGATAGAGATAGAGTGACCAAAAGGGAAAGGGGGAGGGAGGGAGAGAGAAAGAGAGAAAAAGAGTAGGAATGGGAATGCGAGATTATATGCAGTGAGAGATGGAGAGAGAAAGAGAGAGAGAGAAATGGACGTATATATACACTCTCCACCTACCCCTTTCCTCCCGAGAACGTGGTTCTCGGTTCACCAGTGACGTAGACTCTGTGACGTAGTAGCGAGGCGCGCGACCGCTCTACCCCCACGCTTGATCGAGTAAGATGAAGAAGGCGCGAGCACGCGGCTTACCATCAAGCAGCCGGCTTGCAAGACGAGAGAGAGAGAGAGAAAGAGAAAAAAAAGAGAAAAAGAGAGAGAAACAATTTTTGTTCTTCGAGTATTTAAGTATATATATGTTATATATATATTTGAGACGATGAACATAAATTATTTGTGGAGTATCAAATTATTTATTTGAAAGACTGAAAAATAGAGAAAGGGAATTGTTTTTTCTTCTTTGTTTATGGAAATGACGTTACGTAATTATAGCAATATTGAAAGTAAGTAATATTTGGATTTCTTATGATCTTGCTTTTTTCTCGATTTATTTAAATAAAAAAGAGAGAGAGAGAGAAAAAAAAAGGAAATTAAAATTCTTTGCGTTAATTTTGTTCAAATTTTGATTATATTATTCATTAAACATTATGATAAATTTATTTAGTATTTTCCATCCCTATGTTAACGTTAGTCACAGCTTCGTTAATCGTTAATAACACCACATACATATGTAAATACCTGTACCCACACATAGATACAAATCGTATATACATATAAGTAATAAGAAATATACGTAAGTATCGTTTAAACTCGTATTACGGGTTACGGAGAGTGGACATGAAAAATTGGGGAGAAGTATGAGAAAAGCACGGACGCAAGAAGGCGGCACAGCTGCTGATCGATCGCGCGTGTCTCACTCCGGTTGAAAGGGAGCGCGCGCGTGCCCGGCACGCAGAAAAAGAACAGGAGAAGGAGGAGAACGAAGAGAAGGAGGAGGAGGAAAACCAGGATGAGGAGAACGTAGAGGAAGAAGAAAAAGAAAAAGAAAAAGGAGATGGAAACTTTTTCATGACGGCATCTACGCGGAAGGGTTAACAACAACAACAACAACAACTACTACTACGACTCTACTACTACTACTACTACTACTACTACTACTACTACTACTACTACACAACGACGACAATTACAACAGCAACGACAAAAACGACGAGATAAACCGACGACGAGGAGGACGAGGCGCGTGCCACAGAAATTGCGCTCGCGCGCACGCTTTCGAGTCACGTACTCGTGCGCGTGCGCGTGCGCCTATGATCTTTTTCTCTGACGGCTCTCTCGCAACCACCTGATGCCCTATTTGGGGCCACGCACAGTCACGCGCCCGCTCTCTTTCTCTATATATCTTCTTGTTCCTTTTTTCTTTTTCTTTTTCTTTTTCTTTCTTTTTCTTTTTCCCCTCTCCTTTTTGCCACTCACTCCTCTATCCTTTACAAAACTCGCGCGCCACTTCTAATCCTGTGCCGAGACTCTAACAAGTACTCTCGTTAGGTGGAGGACGTCCGACTAGGCCGAAAAGATCAATGACATTTGGCTATTATCCAAACATACACCTCCATACGATAACAATAACAACTAATGTAACAATGTTTCTTCTTCTTCTTCTTCTTCTTCTTCTTTTTTCCCTATTTTTCTCTATTTTTCTACTTATCTAAATAGTTTTTTAAAAATTGGGTAAGTTGATCTGTTTTTATGAGAGATTTATATAATACTAGGACGAATGACAAGTTTTACTTTTTAATTTTAAACATGTCAATCATACAAAACACATAGAATAACAATCAAAATTATTTCAACATGTAAACACAAATTTGTCTGTCCAACCTAATATTATTAATCACTATTAACCCATTTACATAATTAGCATATTCAAATGTTCACTTTTCTTGGCCCTTGTTGCAAGAAAATCTTATCTAATCTTTATTTTACCTTTCTTTTTCTATTTTTTTTATTATACTACACTAAACTTTTATACAGTTGACAAAGAATAAAAATATAAATTATTGAATTATCTACAAAATGTTGAAATAAATAATTTTGATTTTACTTGCTGCAATATTTCTACTGAAATACTTTGTTTTTTTTTTTATGTGGAAATGACTGTCAATAGCAGTTTAACAAATAACGTATTAAATAAAATGAAAATAAAAATTTCTGATCATTTTTTATTATTCATTAAGATGTAAATGAATGAATTAATTTTGATTAAGATAAAAGAAATATCTAGATATTTGATAAGATAATATTCTAATTAGTTAATTGAAGAATTGAAGGCAAAGTTAGTGTTCACGTTTAAGAAGGAATCACCCAACAACGTTGTTGAGACGCTGATGATCGGCTGGCACGACAACAAAATGTTCTAAAATGACCGGGGCCCACTCGGTGAGGAGGAGGTGGGCGAGTTCTATTCTAAGCGCGACTCGATGCGATTTTGCGCGGGCGAATGTTGCTATTTCGAGCCGCCACGCAACCACCTGAGACACCCAGCATCCCCAAATACCCGGGATAACTATCAAGACGCAACTTCCAATTCTAACGTATGAAGAGCACGCTGACTCATCGGACGACGATCTAACAAAGTTTTTTCTTTCACTTCAGCCACGCGTTCAGTAATCATTCCTTCTTTCTACGAGTCTTCTGTCAGTTTTATCTTTTAGGAAAATCTATAGAATATATATGACCGGTTCCGTTTGTTTGTGTATTATCCAATGATTTTCTCGAGTGTTTTTGTGAAGTATTTGCGAAGTTCGATTTTGAATTTCCCGTTTTTTACGAATCGATATTCAAAAAGAAATTTTCATCAATTATTATTGGTTCGTTTTATTTTTATTTTTTTGTATGAATTAATAGGTGATTTTGAAGATTGTCTAAATTATACAATTTTTTTTTGTTTAAAGTAGATTGATTTAGAATAGAATATGTTTCTCGATCTCCCGTTTTTAAGAAGTCAATATTTAACTGAAAAAATGGATTATGTGTATTAATAAATAATTGATTTTTATTTTGATAGAAATCAATCGATGATATTGAGAATGATTGAAATGTTATACTTTAGTTTGTAAGATATTATAATTTGTTTAGTGTACGAGTAATATGTGTTATTGATAAACAGCTTTACTTTGACATCATTTCCATTTAAACGGCGGGAAACACGGATTTCAAAGTCGTCTGACTTACATCCGAATGTAATTAAGGGCAATTGCATTTTTTGTTGTTGTGACAAGCGCCTTTCTACTTATCCTTCTACCTTTCCACCGATATTAAGTCTAATGAGTAATGACATTGAATACATAAGTAGTATTTTTTATTATATCAATTAAAATATTCAACATTTGCATATAAGTGGAATGATGAAATAATTACAAAATAGAAACAGTAGATTTTATTCAATATGCTATTCCATTTTACATTTAATATGTGAGATCAACTTCAGCAGTGGACAGGGGACACAAAAACAAGGAAAAAAGTTGATAAAAACGAGTATCCTATTTCAAAATGATCAAAAAAGTTTCAAAATGATTATTATTGGTTTGGATTTCTAAACTGTGTCTTCTAAGTATTTCTTGTTAAAGTCTTTGTCTTCTAAGTATTTCATGTTCTCGTGGTTGTCACGCATTCTGTCAATTAGATTAAGTCATTTCAGTTAAATTATTTCAATTTCAATGTTTAGTCCTCTTACTAGAAGTACTTCATTATTTTCTATTCACTGTGTGTTTAAAGTTACAAGCGTGTAATTAGATTTTGATTATTTGGCTCATTTGAAAATAATTGGATATTTGACACGTTTGCCAGCATCGAGAAAGCTGTCAATGGATTTGACATGTACCTAAAATTTTGGAAAGAACACGAAATTTGATGATACATCGACTGCAAGCTTGGATACAAACCGAGGGAGATCATTTTGAGTTATTTTTGTTTAAATAAATTGTCATGGATTATTTAAACACAAAACTTGTTATAATTTTGAATCAAAGTCAAATGAGATACTCGTATGTAAGAATTTTTTCCATTGTTTTTATGTTTCTAAAATGGATCTATATATATTATTCTATATTATACTAGGGGTGCCCCGCCACGCGTTGCTGTGGCTCACAATCAGTCCGATACACACGTCTTTAAGTCAACGAATTACTTTATACCGCCATCTGTTTAGAATCTTATCGAACTAACAGAGATAATCATGACTCTTTCTTAATAAACAAATAATTCGCAATACAATAATATGGCGATTATAAATTGTGATATAAACTATCCTATCTTTCAAGTTGGATGAAACTGCACACAGTGTGTAAAATTTGATTCAAATCGGTTCAATAATTTAGGAGTCCATTGCGGACAAACAACGTGACACGTAATTTATATATATTAAGATATTATTTTGTTCAAGTGGTGAATATTATTGCATCGAAAATCGAAATAATATTTTAACCTTGCGAATGAGTGAGTTGAAAATTTAAATTTAAAAACACTGAAAGTTAAATCTTTTTTTTTTTAATATAACAAAATATGTGCGTGCATTTGATGTAAATGAATGATAATGGTGATGATGATGAAAAAAAAAGTAATGTGCGTGTGAATGAAATATACGCTCCTGTACTCTGTTATGTTACCGAGGTCTTCTTATACGAGTGCCGGTATTTCTTCGATCTGCCGTGAGTCACGATTCATCGTTGCTTTCGCACGTTTTTGCTACGACGCGATGCGGAGCTCGTCGATTAACGATCATTTCCGCTCGATTCCCGTGCGGAATCTCTTTCGTCTTTTTCTTTCTAACTTTATCGTCTTCTACGTCTCGTCAATCAATTTTTTTCTTCTTTGAATTTCAAGACTTATTTATCCATTTTTTAATTCCTTTTCTTATTATTTCTATTTTTTCTAAGTTTATTTAAGCTTGTCAAAAGTAATAATGAAAGTCGATGAAATTAAATTTAATGCTTCTTAACACATTCGCGACCGGCATATTTTTTCCTTTTTTTTTTAATACTAAGTACAGGAAAAAAATAATGAATTATTTAATTAATTTATATATTAAAAATTATATTTATATATAAATTTATATTTAGCTATTGCAGTATAATATTTAAATAATTATATTTTATTATATTATTATATTTTATTATTTTAAATATAAATTTATTATTTTATATATTTTAATTATAATATTATTAAATATATATTTATTATATATTATAATTCTTAATATAAATTCATTTTTAT